ACAGAGCCCGCTATAGCCCATGAGCACTGCTGGTTGTGGCTCAACCCCCCAGGCCTCCAAGTGAAGAAAAAAAAAGGACAGATGTCTTCCTCCCACTTTCTTAGTTCTAACATTGACCCAGTGTAGTGTGTGGAAATGATAAAAGAGCCTGATATCTATTTGTGGTCATAAAGGATTTAATGAGGGAGTGGGTGGTTTATTTGACCTCCAGCAAATCTAAAATAATAAAAAACCCCTGGGATTAGTCTTCCAGGGCTTGAATTGATCCTTCATAGATGAAATGAAGCACGAATTTGAAGAAAAAATTATGCTGGCTCAAGGCTCAAAGCAGAACCACTAGGGAGATGGATGGGTGGGGGTGGGATCAGGTGGGACCAGGGAGAAGAAATGCTTATTTGGCTGAATCTCATATTTTTGAAAACTGAGGATGCTTGTCACCAACGGACACAGGCTCAGTAGAGATAGAATGGCAACTTTCTGGAGGTCACCTTCTCTGAGCTTGACTTCATCTTTTGAAATAGACCTTTAAGTTCATGAAATAGAACCTCTACCTTGACCTCACCAGAGATAAATCAGTTTCTGGAAGGAAGTGGCCCAGGATAAATGATCTCTCTCTGGGTTTTGAAAATCAAAATTTGTTAACAAGTAGCATGAAAAAATCCATGGAGACCACTCATTACTGAGTCCCTTCATATTGGTGACTTGCAAGGTTTTTCTTTTCATATGTTCGTGGCAAGGAAACGGATTTAGGAAGGAGTGTTAAAGAACTGCTCATTTACTGTCTTTATGTTACAGTGAGAAACCGGATGTTTGCAGATTGAGACTGGATTCCATGTGAGGTTTGTGAATCCTCAGTCTTCCACTCATGCTGATACATCAACCTTGGCCCATTAGAACTATCACCAGGGGCTGGAACGATAGTACAGCAGGGAGGGCGTTTGCCCTACACACAGCTGACCTGGGTTTGATCCCTGATATCCCATATGGTTTCCCAAGCACTGCCAGGAATAATTCCTGAGTGCAGAGTCAGGAATAACTCCTTTGCATCACTGGCTGTGATGCAAAAAGCAAAATAAGAAAAAAACAAAAATCAAAAAAAATTAAAAAAGAAAAAGAACTATCACCAAGTCTTCAACTCTAAGTTCAACTGGCAGTGGAGCATGGTGGACAACCCACCATTGCCACTAATTTTTTAAAAAGCTCCCCTAAAGCAGTATATATTAAGGAGAAAGAGAGATGGGTTCAATGGCCTGAGTCCATGCTTTGCATGCTGACCCCCAGCACTTCAGGTCCCCTGAGAGTCTCCTAGAGGGACCCTCAAACACTAAGGAAGGCATAACCCCTGAGTACCAACTAGTTTTCGTATGGCACCTCTCAAAAATGAGCACATTCTAAAAGTAAAACTAGAAAGCTTATTTTTCTCACCTAACTTCTGATTTTTCTAGCTGCACCTCCCAGATCAAGTGCAGCTCTTCAAACACTTCTATCTGAAGCCACTACTGAGCCTCGGGATAAGAAGAACTGAACACTGTGTCTTGAAGTCCCCAGTCCAATGGAGAGTTGGATGACTTTCCTTGGAGAGGTTATGATGGACTTATTGCCTGAGTCATGAGGTCCAGCTCCCATCCAAACCCTGTTCTCCCCCAGTGACCACTTCTCCATCTCTGGGTATTCACCCATGACTTGGGAAGGAGGAGAGAGAATGGACAGAAAGAGGATGTGTCTCTCCAGGAGGCAGAAGTCTGGGAAGGAAGTTGCTGCACTGGCACAGGCTACTTAAGGGATCCTGACCTGCCCCCACACCACTGTCCAATGGCGTACCTCCTTATTGGCGTCTCAGGTCCTCCTGACAGCTGCTCAAGTCAAAGGGGACATGGAGGGCCATGAGATGGCTCAAAGCCCGAGCATGGGCTTTGTCTGAGTGAGTCCCAGGTTTGAGCCTCAGCACTACAGTCCCTTGAGCACCCCTGGGAGCAACCCCCAAGCACGCCAGAGGGTGTGTCTCCTCCCTAAAGCAGACACCGACTTTGAGGACAGGTGTGTCTAAGATCAGAGAGGAAGGGGTCCTGTGTGCTAGAGCCCTGACATCTGAGGGGCCCTTGAAGAGAAGGCACTGATCCCAGCCTGTCACCTATGTCTCCAAGGCACCCACAAACGCAGTCCAACTTCCTTAGCTCTCACTGAAGCCTATTTAAATGCCACTTCTTGCTGCTCCCTGAGCTACATCCTGGGGTATCCTTTAGCACCCTACCTCTGCGATCAAAGACTCAGGAAGGGGAAGCCCACTGCTTTTCCCAAGGGGGACCTTCCTTTCCTGCGGCCTCTTGATCAAGTTTCTCTTCTGAGATCTGAAGGCCCAGATATGAGCGTCCTTGGACGAGGTTCCTGTTGCCGACCAAGACTGTCCCACCTTAGCTCCGCCTGGCAGCATTGTAGAAACCCCTTCACTCTTCTTACTGAACCCCTCTCCCCCGCAACCCCACCCCACAACTACAGAGGGAAGCGGGCGCACACAAAAGCCTTGTGAAGAGACCAAAGTGCCTTTCTTCCTTCTGAATGAAGATGAAGCTCGGAAATAGAAGAAAAGTGATTGAAGCAAAGACGGGGGGTGGGCGGGGGTGGGGGGGTAGAAGAGCAAAAAGAAAATGAGATTCCCTTGGTCTCACAGTTCACAGTGGGCCGCTGGGGGTGAGCTGTCTGTGTGCTGAGACGGCCATTCATTTGCTGGCTCTCCTTTCTTCCCTCCTGTATATGGAGGTGCAGGGGGGCTAAAATAGGGGGGTGGAGGGGAGAGAGGCAGGGGAGAGGCCCTGGCGGGGGGAGAGGAGAATAAGATTCAAGGCCCCAGACAGACGGATACATAGAAAAAGTCCCAACTTCCTGTGTGCCCTGATCCACCGATCACTAACTGACCTTGTAAACCTCAGTTGACTCTCTTAAGAGTGCCTCACTCATGGAGCGATGGGATTGGAAGGCCCCTTTCTGTGCACAGACCCTCACCCCTCATGTTTTAGCAATCTCATGGTAACTGTCAGGTCAGAGGGTGCTTTTGAGATATTCATCTGGGCCAGAGAGATGGCTCAAAGGGATAGAGCTTGTGATTGGCATGTAGGAGCCCCAGGCTTGATTCCCAGCACCGCATGGGCCTCTGACCACCACCAGCAATGACCTCAGAAAGAGAGAGAGAGAGAGAGAGAGAGAGAGAGAGAGAGAGAGAGAGAGAGACAGAAATTGAGACATAGATGGAAAGAGAGCGGGAGAGATTGAGAGACAGCAGGAGAAGGAGAGATGGGAGGGAAGAAGGGAGGAAGGGAGGGAGGAGAGGTTTTATAGGGTCAGTCCTTGCTGTGTTCAGACGAGAACAGTGCCATCTGGAGGAGAGAGACCTGCTGAGTCTCTCATCCAGCCTCAGACATGCAGAGCCCCTGATGTTCCAGCTTTATCCGGTGCTCTGTCTCCTCTCCTGCTCTTCGCCATGTGAACCCCAAAGACAGAGAGGATCCGAATTGCAGATGCAAAAATCTGACTGCACTGACTGCCTCCACCCACCAGCTCCTGGGCCTCAGCACAGGTGCTCCGGGTCTGGACACTCCCATTCATCATGCTGAACTGCAGCATCACTTTCCCCAAGAGATGCCTCTAGCCTCCTGCTGGGAGGCAGCTCTCCCTGCCCTGAACCTTAGCTCCCTCCACCCCCAAGTGTTCCAGCCATCCTCCTCTTCCCATGCCTGGCTTCTACCATGTCACCAGTGTTCACCATGTGTTCACCAACTGCCAGCGCCTGGGGAAGGGGTGGACTGAGACTGTCTATAATGCATGGGTTGATTCCAAACCTACTCATTCAACCTGGACTCTTTATTTTTTGGGATGTTTCTGTATTTTCATATGCTATTTGCAGAGATTTAAATAAGGAAAAAAAGAAAAGAAACTGGGACTGGGGTGTGGCTCAAATCCTGCAGTGCCTGCCTAGCATTTCCGGTTCTGTGGGTTGGATCCCCCAACACCACACGGCTTGCACAAATACGGCGACATTAGCAGGATGGAACCAATATCGGATACTGTGGTTCTGTGTGGGCTGCCTTACTGCACAGATCTGCACTCAGTCGCCTGAGTAATGAGACTTACCTTGTCCAGAAAGATGTGTACCAAGGGCTGGGCAGCTGGACTGCTGAGTGGACGAGCTGGATATAGGCAATAAGGGGAGAGTCGAGGTTACTGTCTGGAGAGACTTTTTTTAATGCTAACCCTTGAGTAAGGACATTAGGGAAATTTCTGAGCACTTTGGTGTTGGTGGGGTACAATAACTTTGTCTATTAATACCATAAACATTAGCACTATTATAGCCTTGCTACCTAAACGATAGTAAAATAAAATTTAAGATAGTAAAATTAAAATACTTAGTAATAAGCTTTAAAATGTCAGATAATATATCACCTTAGAATATATATATCTCAACAACTCAACAACAAAAAGTAAATGCCAGTGTTGATGTTCTATGTTATTTGGCCATTTCCTCTTTTTATGCAGATGAAAATTTAAGTCTCACCAAACATGATGGACATTTTGATCCTGTTTATGTCGGGGTGTTTTGACTGTGGTGACTTTAGAATGGTGCTAGAATAATAGAGTCTGAAGGGAAACCAAAACAATCTATGTTGCAATTTCTGGATTTTTTTTTTTCAGAAATTGGATATTTTATGCATCTCTACCAAACTTGCCTTCATACATTAAAATTCCTAGTTTGTAAAACCTGTTGTTTGGTGGGGGGAAAAAATTCAAAATTTAGACGAAAATGTTTCTTTGCCTAATTATGTGTCAAGAAAAGTGGACAAATCCAACTGCATAGTCCTACTGAATATGAATATGCAAAGACCAGTTGAGACAGTCATTGACAAACTCTCAGTGCTTAAAGCAAGAACATAGCATTTGTCAGCCCTTATTTATTATTGTAACAGACCAGTTTGCAGGTCTGTTGTCTTTTTCCTTTAAAATGAAATCTAGTGCTTACTTTAGCAGCACATATACTAAAACTGAAAAAACACAGAGAAGATTAGCATGGTCCCTGTGCAAGAGTGACATGCAAATTTGTGAAACACTCCTTATTTTTAAGAAAATAAATATAATAAAATTTATTGGGGCTGGGAACTTATCTCAATAGAAGAGCACAGACTTAGCATGCAGGTGACGCTGGATTCCATCCTTAACATCATACACATGTAAAAAAAATGTAGATTAATTTTAAAAGTTTATAGCTCTGTCCTCCCATTGTTCATCGATTTGCTCGAGTGGACCCAGTAATGTCTCCATTGTGAGACTTGTTACTGTGTTTGGCATATCACATATCATAGTAAAATAAAATTTAAGATATTGTTTGGCATATCAAATACATCATGGGTAGCTTGCCAGGCTCTGCTGTGCAGTCGAGATACTCTTGGTAGCTTGCCGGGCTCTCCGAGAGGGGCAGAGGAATCCAACCCAGGTCAGCCTGGTTGGCTTCGTGCAAGGCAAATGCCCTATCTGCTGTGCTATCACTCCAGCCCATTTTTTAAAAAATAGATTATAAAGTAGACAATTCCAGTTTTATAATTCTATTGAACATGAATCTCCAAAAACAAATTAAAGCAGTCATTAATAAACCCACAGTGCTTAAAGCAAGAACATAGAATTTTTTGGCTCTTTATTATAACATACCAGTGTGAAGGTTTATGATTTTTTCTTTTAAAATGAAATCTTTGGGGGCTGGAGCGATAGCACAGCAGGTAGGGCATTTGCCTTGCATGCGGCTGACCTGGGTTCAATTCCCAGTATCCCATATGGTCCCCTGAGCATCATCAGGAGTAATTCCTGAGTGTGTGAGCCAGGAGTAATCCCTGTGCAGTGCCGGGTATGACCCAAAAAGAAAAAAAAAAAAAGAAATCTTTGGGAGCTGGGAACTTAGCTCAACAGGAGAGCACAAGTTTAGCATGTATAAGGTCTTGGGTTCCATCCTAGCACTAAACATATGCAAAAAAATACTTATACTAAGAAAAAAAGAGATTCATTTAAAAATTAGATTTAAAAGTAAACACAAATATTCAAAACTAAATTCAGACAGTCATTGACAACCCGCAGTGCTTAAAGCAAAAATACAGAATTTGTTGACTCCTTATTTAGTATATAACAGACCAGTATGCAAGTCTATGATTTTTCTTTTAAAATGAAATCTTTGGGGGCTGGGAACTTAGCTCAATAGAAGAGCACAGATTGGACATGTACACGGCCCTGGGCTTCATACTTAGCATCACACATATGCAAACATACTTACACTTAAAAAATATATTGATTTTTAAAATATGCGTCTACAAGCCAGATATGTGGCTCAGTGGCAGAACAGTTGCTCTGCATGTGTGAGGGTTCAATCACCAGCGTACACACACACACACACACACACACACACACACACACACACACGGAAGAGTATTAATCTACCACTCTCCGTGGTAGTTATTCATGATTGAGTTCCAGGCACACAGTGTCCACTTCCCTCCATCAATGTTAGTTTCACTTCAGCCTCCCCCTCTCCCACACCTGCCTCCAGGACAGGCACTTTTTCCTTTTTCTTTACATCACTGCAAAAGATTCACTATTTTTTTTAAACCAATACGATTTTGCACATGACATTCAATAAAAAAGAAGTCCTCCACTTTCTGTCTGTTATTGTTTGTTTTCATTTATGAATTGTTACCGAACATAATTTTCTTTTCCAGATGAGAGAAAACGATTTTGCTCTGACTTTGCCCCTGGGTGTTCCCAGCTTTGGTGAACTCAATTTCATCTTGATCTTCCAATAAGACATTTGACCCATCCACCCCCCTCCCCCAGTCTCCCAGATTAAACTGTGATCACCTTGGTTCTGGTGCAGGTCCATTTTGATAAGCATGGCAGGAGATGAATCCCTGACAGCATTTAGGAGATTTACCCACTATAGCCCCCTTGACATTGAGGCCAGAGACATCTCAACTGTGAGAATCATCTGGAGTATCACAGGATGTCTAGCGGCATCCCTGGACTTTACCAGCTACATGTCTGTGGCATGTCCTCCACTGAGTGGTGACAATAAAAACTGTCCTTGAGTGAGAATCATTGCTGTAGCTGGAGATTGAGCAGTCTACAGACCTGGAAGAAGAAGTTGAACTTGGACAAATTTTTTGTCATCAAGGAATCTCTGCTCTCTGCATTCGTAGTTGGAATAAAAACAGTTAGTTTGATTTGACAAGTTCCAAGATCACGTACATGAAAATGACTTGTCTAATAGCAAACCATTTATAAATGCATTGGGGGTATTATTATAAAGAGGTTAAACATGTTAGACTGCATTGCAGTGGTATGTGGAGGGGAGGGGGGAATGGAGCTCTTAAAAATATCTACAATTGATTTCTTCTATATTTGGGTCCCAAAGAAACTTAATTGGCCAATTAAAATTAATTTCTTCTTTTCCGATGTAAAAGACCCATTCATTCAGCTTGATTTCTTTGGCTTAAGTATTTAGTCAATTCAAAGAACAAAGGTTTGAAACCTTTCCCTTCATTGCACTCCACCTTCTCTTCCTGCAGACAGTTTTTGGGGAAGGGCATGGAATTTGTGGACCTTAGGTTGGGGTGGGTTTAGGTCTATGCCACTCATGGCTCTGTGTTGGTCCCTGAGCAGTTCTGGTTTCTAGGTAGCATCCCGGGAAATGGATCCCACAGTCTCCTTAGGAGCTTTGGGTGTGGTTCCAGATTTGACACTCAGAGGTGAATCCCTGCACCCTGCACACAACTCAGTTTGATTTTCATCGTTCCTTGATTCCATCCTCTGTGTCTCACACCAAGGGACTCTGTACCAAGCAGACATCCACAAGCCTCTGCCCTCCAAACCTCAGCCTCTACCCTAGCTAGCTTCTTCCCAGTTCTCCTTCCTGCCGAGAGCCCCACTGGATGGTCTGTCAGAGAGCTCTGCTCTGCCTTTCCATATTCAGTTCTCCCGCTTCCCCTTGGGGTCCTGGTATCTCCTGTGGAACATTTTTCCTCCCCTCTCCGCCCCAGCATCCCTGGGCTTGACCCTGAGTTTCTGTGGGAGCAGAAGTGCCCACAACTGCCACTTCTTGCTCTGTTTTCTCTCTTTTCTGAGCCCCCTTCTCAGACCTGTAAATATCCTCCTATTTTCCTGTTGGGTGCAGAACTCCCCAGATATCCCATTTATACCCCATTTCCTTCCCTCAAATTTGAGGGCTTCTTCCTAGAATGATCAGGAGGGGCTTTTTTGGGGGGGGTCCCTCCCAGTGATGCTCAGCTGGCTGTACAGTGCTGGGTCCTGAGGATGTGACCCTGTGCAGGACCTGCAGTACTCGCTATTATCTGACCCACCTCCAGAGCAGAGTGCTTCGATGCTCCAGGGACCATGTGGTGCCAGGGATCAAAGCAGGGTCACCTGCCTGCAGGGTAAGCGCCCTAAGCCTTGTCCTAGCTTCTCTTCTTCCCAACTCGCTTACAGCAACTTTTTCCCAGTCAAAAGGGAAGAGCCTCTGGTGAAGAACCAGCTTGATCGGTTCAGAGTCCTATCAATTACTAAGAGCTCAAGACACATTTCAAACCATGAGCAGTCAGAGCGAGGGCTCAGGGCCAGGTGATGGGAAAGAAGAATGTGCTGGAAATGAAAAGCAGGCCCCCAAGGCCTTCATCTTTCAGCCAACTGTCCTCCCACACAGAGATCCACTCCTGCCCTTGAAAAGCATGCTCTTCCTCCCAGGGAACATAGCAGAGATCCGCTCCAGTGTGTGTCCTGCCTTCTCCTCCATCCCCTCCCTTTCCCCCCGCCTTGCTTTTTCCATGTGAGTTCCCTGCTCTCGGGATGTGGTTTCCTGGGAGGTTTGCTCTTGGGAGTTGTCCCCTGGAAAGAGGCCTAGGGTGAGCAGAGGGCTCCCTGCTGGCGTTCCTGCAGTGTTTAGCTGGGGAAGCCGGGCTGACACAGCTGCTCTGGCAGGCCGTCTTTCCAAGGAGAGCTGCCAAGCATGTGGGGCCTCTGTGGAGAGAGCTGGAGACGCACCCTGCACAGAGAAGCTGTGTGCGTGTGTGTGCGTGTGTGTGTGTGCGCGCGCGCGCGCGCGCGTGTGTGTGTGTGTGTGTGTGTGTGTGTGTGTGTGTGTTGTGGCGGAGGGTAGGGAAGAGAGGGAGAGGGGTGTCTTCAGAACCAGCTTGCAAGATTGTGAGAGGAGATGCCAGAGCCATTCATTCACTGGCCTGATGCACTGCAGAAAGCAATTCCCAGGGGCTCCAAAAGCCTTCCTAGAGAATTTCTATCAGACCTCTGTTGGGGGCCATTAAAGCATTCTGGGTAGCCCCCCAAACTTCTGTGCACATGTGTGTAGGATCATGCACATACACACAAGCACACATGCATGATTGTGCATGGGCACACGTGTGCTTGCACACACACGCGCACACACACACGCGCGCGCACACACACACACACACACACACACACACACACACACATGCACGCACGCACCTCCCCATTGGACTTTGTGTAGAAGCCAGAATGAATTTAATGGAACTTCCTTTGCCACATGGACAAAAATAACTCTGGCATCCCCTTCTGGATGGATTTTAATTAAGAAAGACACAGCACTTAAACTATGCTTATTACTTTCAGTTGTTTGAGGAGGCTGCGGGCTTAGAGAAGGCAATGGGAGTCAAACCGGGTTTTTGAATGCGATGGCTCTGGCAGGAGGGAAGTGACAAGTTTATAAATCTCTCTCTCCCTGCTTCCAGGCAGCCTGGCTGAGCTAGGAGGTGCCGGTTTTAACCTCAACCACTCCAGGGCTAACATTCCGAGTCCTTCTCTGAGCCAGAACTCCACCAAATTAGTATTTCATGGACATTTGCTTTTTCTGAGTTAAAAGAATTGGAATTTGACCTGCAGGCCCTATTGGAGACCCTCTTTCTAGCGGAGACTGGGGAGACGCCCAAATGTGATCAGGGGTTTTCCCTAGCATTGCATGTAGCACACTAGCGACTGTAATTCACAGCACACATGGCATGAATCATTGTAAAAGGACATGAATGACTGCGTGGGTGGGTGTGCTCAGAA